CTCTGGATATGAACTACTTCCTCCTGTACAGCAGAGTCCAGAACACCTTCCAGAATGTGGAGGCACCATCCCCGCAGGCCTTCCTGGAGATGCTCTCGAACATTCAGCCCAAGACCCCCTGGGAGGTAGAAATAGACCTGAGGCCAGTGTTCTCAACCTTCCTAATGCTGTGACCCTTCAATACAGTTCCCCATGTTGTGGTGACCCCCAATTTCATTGTTACAAATTGATCATGATTAAAGCATAGTGATTAATCACACACAAAAGAAAATAAAGACATCTTAGTTAATAATAATAAAAAAATAACAACAACAAAAAATAAAAAATAAATAAATAAAACCTCCCGGGGAAACAAGCCAGGGCTTTCAGACCACGACTGACTAGCCTAACCAGGGTCACAGGTGAGTGACCAAGCTGGGGATTAAAGCAGAGATTTTCTTTCTGTCGGGGGCAGCTGGGGGTGGGGGGGGGGGGGCGCGGTGGCCTGAGGAAGATGGTGTAGGAATCTAGGCCCCAGTGGTGCTGAAAATGTTTCAAGGTTCCATGTAAACACAGGTGCAGCACATTTTGAATGTCATGGATGTAAGTTTATGCCAACAGCACCACCTCCTGGGCACGAGAGGCACTACCGGCCCTTGACGGGAGGCCAGTATCATTACCACTAGGTACAAGCACAAAATCAAGCGATCGGATGGTTTCTCCCCATTCCCGCCAAATTAACTGGCTAGAGGCATACGGTTTGGAAGTTCCCCTGACACCTCGGATGGAGAGCATCACTCCCACCCCAACAAGGAGAACATGCTGCGTATACCACCTGGCGTTGGCAGAAAAATGCCTCAGGCCACCCCGCCCCCTACAAAAGATGTCCACGTCTTAATCCCCGGAATCTGTGAATGCGTGGCCTCACATGGCAAAAGGGAGTTTGCATATGTGACCCTCACATGCAGAGGGTACCTGGCTTATGCAGGTGGCCATCAGCAGGGTCCTTAAGAGGGAGCGTGCCAGGCAGAAGAGAGGGGGGGCCGGAAGGGGAACTGGTGTGACCCGCGGGCCAGCTGGGTGGGGAGGACGGGCCAGGAGCTGCGGGTCAGAGCCTCCAGCCAGGGACAGACAGGACTCGGCTTCTCCCTGTGCCTCCACAGGAGCCGCCCTGCCCCCATCTTCACTCCAGCCCCGAAGCGGGCTTTGGACTCTGACCTCCAGAACGCCGAGATAACAATTTGTGTTACTTTAAGCCCAGAAGTCCATGATCAATTAATGTATACCTGATATCTATATGTTTTAAAGTGTGTATGTAATGTCCCAAAGATGTATATACACTTTGAATAATTATTAATTCCCATGGGTTAAATCTGAAAATAAAGAAACATCAATTGAGCTATAAACTGTTAAATTGTGGTTTTGGGGGGAAAAATGAAAAAAAAGTGTGGTTTTGGGGAACACCCAGTGTGTGTGTGTGTGTGTGTGTGTGTTAATTTGTAGTTTAAGGAGCCCCCACACACACAAAAACAAAAGCTCATGACTGACTTCATGAGCAAATCAACCAAACCAGGAAATTCTCATGCCAAGTTGATAGAGACTCATGCACAGGATAGAAGAAATACTGTTATGGGGTCAATTCATTTCATGCAGCCAGCATTACTCTGATGCCAGAACTGAACAAAATATTTCAAGAAAAAAAATAACAACTACAGACCAATATCCCTCATGAACATAGAAACAATAGTTTTCAAAAATATATCAGAAGTCATGTCCAGCGACATACAGAAATGATACCACATCATGACAAAGTGCAACTATCCTGGGAATGCAACATTGTGCTGCATTTGAAAATCAACGGATGTAGCCCGGCCGGGGTGGCTCAGTGGTTGAGCGTCCACCCACGCACCCAGAGGTCACGGTTTGATTCCCGTTCTGGGCACATGCCCGGGTTGTGGGCTTGGTCCCTAGGAGGGGGCGTGCAAGAGGCAGCCGATCAATGATTCTCTCATTGATGTTTCTCTCCCTCTCCCTTCTGCTCTCTCTCTCTAAAATCAATAAAAATGTATTTTTTAAAAAAAAAATTTAAAGAAAATCAACTGATGTAATTCACCTCATCAGGAGGAAAAGAAGAAACGCAGAGTCCGGTTCAAGATGGAGACGCACAGGGACCTTGAACTCACCTCCTTCCCCGGCCGCACGGACACACAGCGAGTGCAGGACACTTTCTTCTGAAATAAACCACCCCAGGCCAACGAGACACTCCCCACATTGACTCGGCGGGAAAGACACCTCACCATCAACTCCCCCAGCGCAGTGGTGCCTCAGCGTCTCCCTGAGGAGTGAAGGGCCTCAACCCCACACCTGGCACCCCAACTTGTAAAACCTACACCTGAGATACAAGCCCCATAATATCTAGCTTTCAAAACCAGCAGGGCTGGCGTTCACGAGACCCCCAAGGCTCTGGCGAGCTGAGAAACAGCTTAAAGGGCCGGCACAGACTCCCGGACCGGGGGCCCAGCACAGAGGCAGCCCCTGAAAAGCACCCCCACTGCTGGGAGAGAGGCTTCTACGCTCATCTTTTTGTTTGTTTTAATCCTCACCCAAGGATATTTTTTCCATTGATTTTTTTTTTAAGAGAGTGGAGGGGAGGAAGGAAAGGAGAGGGGGTGAGAGGGAGAGAAAGAGTGAAACATCAGTGCGCGAGACATCGATTGGTTGCCTCCCACATGCACCCCAACTGGGGCCAGGGATGGAGCCGGGCACACGCCCTTGACCAGGAATCAAACCCATGACCCTTCAGTCTGCAGGCCGATAATCTATCCACTGAACCGAACCAGCTAGGGCTTGTATGTTTAGCTTTTTTTGCTTAATTGATTTCAGAGAGGAGGGGAGAGGGAGCGAGAGATATAAACATAGATGAGAGAACACATTGATTGGCTGTTTCCTGCACCCCTCCCCCCACACACACACACACACACACTGGGGATGAAGCCCACAACCTGGGCATGTGTCCTGACTGGGAATCAAACCATGATCGCCTGGTTCATAGGTCGAGGCCCCACCACTGAGCTACACCAGCTGGACTTGCATGCTTATCCTAACGAGCCAGCGCGAGGGCAGCTTCTCATGAACACAGTCCCGGCCTCCTGAAACCTCCTGCAAGGTGGAGGCCACACTGAGCCGCTGGGCCTCCAGAAAGGAGCTGTGCACCCTCTGCCGCCCTGACTTTGGGGACCCGGAGACGCCTGTTCTTTGCCTGCTCTGGGGCCGCGGGCTCATGCTCACAGGTCCCAGGGAACTGGAAGATGGAGAGCGTTCCTGGCCGACACCACCCCACAGTGGAGGGGCACCCAGTGTCCCGAATCTTCAGAGCAGCAGCCAAACACACCTGGAGGGCTGCCCCCTCTAGGAGGACTCGGAGGAGGCAGCATGGCCACGCTCTCCTGCCACATGGTCTCCCCACCACGCGGTCTCCCCCGCCATGCTCTCCCCGCCACACCTGAGCGCCCCTCTCCGGGAGGGAGCCTGCCACGCACCTGGTGCCTCGTTTGGTGGCTGCTGCCCAGGGCCCTCCCGGTCCCCTGGCTGTGGAGGCCAGTGCAGCTTGGTTCCCGGGGCCCATGGGACACACCAAACCAGCAGTTCCTGGCAAGAGCCACCGCGGGGACACTGCACAGACAGGGACGGAACCAGTCCTCGTGGCATCTCTCCGGGAGAGCGGCCTACTGGCTTACTTGGGACGCTTACACAGGACCCCGGGTGCGCCATCTGGGGACGGAGGGGGCGCCTCTCTGCCCTCTGCCTCCGCCTCCTGCAGGCGATCAGGCCTGCACCTCCGGCAGCTCGTGCACCTGTGCGGCAGAATTTCTGCACCTGCTGCCCAGGGACCCCCTCCTTCACCAGCTCAGGTGCCACCAGGCTGTGCTCCTGGCCCCACGGGACTGGACCGTTTCAGGCAAGGACAGTTCTTCCCCACCCCGTCCCCCAGGGCACAGCAGAGACCGCACACGTGGAGATGCACCCCATGCATCTTCCTGGGAAAGGGCTACCGGCTTATCTTGATAGCTGCAGCCTGGGGGCCAGGCTGCTAATTAAACTAAACACGGAGGGGCTGCCTGCAGGCCTCTGCAGGGACCAGGGGGGCTGGGGGTGCCATCGCCAGGCTGCCCTGTCACCCCGCCACCGGCTGCCCCGCCCACGGTGCCTGTGTCTCTGTGACTGAGAGGAGCCTGTGCACAGGTCTGGGCCCCGGCTTTGGTGGCCGCCAGCAGAGGACACATCGTGACAGGCTGGCTCTAGCGGCCAATGGGAGGTCACAGGTTCAGCGAAATGCACACAAAGTTCTTCACTGGCCTTCACCCCAAGCTCAGCTCAGAGGGCACAGCCCATCTCCCGGCCTTCCCCTCGAAGAGGTACACTTCATCCTTTAAACGCTGCTGCTTGCCCTGGCTGGTTTGGCTCAGTGGATAGAGCACTGGCCTGCGGACCGATCTCGGGTTCAATCCCAGTCAAGGGCACATGTCTGGGTTGCAGGCTCAATCCCCAGTAGGGGGCGCGCAGGAGGCAGCAGATCCATGATTCCCTCTCATCATTGATGTTTTCTCTCTCTCCCTTCCTCTCTGAAATCAATAAAAGTATATTTTTTAAAAATAAACAAAAGTCTAACCACTATGCTGTACACTTGAAACTAATATAATATTGAATGTCAGGTGTAATTGAAATTGTTTAAGTAAATAAATAGACTAGAAAAAAAGAAAATAGCAAACATGAGTGAATGATAGAAGAAAACTAGCTCTCTGAATGTTTAGGTGAAGTTTTAGCGTTTCTACGAAGCATCGTAAGCCTCTCGGAAATGGTGCCACAGGGACGCGCTGCCCGTGGGCCGAGACCCGGCCGCCAGCTCCGCTCCCGCTGCCGGGGACGTGCAGTCCGCCGGCTGCATGTGGATGTCTCACCCCCAGGCCCGCTGCACACCCCACTGTCAAATACATTACATTTCCCACACACACACCCACAGGTGGGGGAGGACATGTTTATTGCGCTAACCCTCTGAAGGCACCCACACGATGTCCAGGTGGCACTCGGTGGCCCAGCGGCCGACGAGCCTTCCAGGTTCCCAACTTGCAGCTGGGCGTCCAGTCCGGCCGCCAGTGAGCGCTGTGACACCCTCGGGCCACCTCTTCCAGGGACACGCGGGAGGCAGCTTTGGTCTGAGTGAGGAAGTGGCTTGAGGCGAGTCAGAGAGGAAGGATGAGCGAGAAGCCCTGTGCCTGCGTCTGCGACACGCGTGGGGACATGGGCGTGGGGACAAGGGCGTCGGGCAGGGGTAAGGCAGCGAGTGGCGCTCGGGCGGCGGAGCGGCGAGCGGTGCTGAGGGCGGTGGCGGGCACGGGTGGGCACGGCGGGGTCCCTGGCGGCACCTCAGTCATCTTCGCCCCCGCAGAGCAGCAGGAGGGTTTTCTTGTAGTCCCCGGACGTGTCGCTCTGAAACCCAAAGGCTCTCCGTGAGCGACCCCCACAGCGGCCGTAGGGAACAGAGAGAACCAGCCGGCAGGGAATCGCACCGTGACTTTTCCCCAAAGCGGCGACCCGACTGTCACACCGGGAATGCCACGGGGTTTCCTGCCGACACAGCCTCTCGCTCCCCGACTCTCCCCGCCACGGGTGCGCGTGGCCTGCTGTGGATTTCTACACGGAGCATCGACCAAGGCCCCTCACCTTAATCATGGAGTACAGCGAGGTGGCGAAGTTCTTCCGGAACTCCTTCCTGATGTTGAACAGGTCGACCTCGCTCCGGGACACGATGACCCGGATGAGGGTGTGGTCGTCGGTGCCGGCGCCCTGGAGAAAGGACAGGCAGGCCGCGTTTACAGACCCGCGCTCCCGAGCGGGGCGCGTCCACAGAGGAAAGCCACGTGGTGACATGCAGCTACGAGCTTTAAGGAGAGGGAAAAGCCCCCAAGGCCATCGCCTAAACCGCAATCGTGGTCGCAGGGGGAGAAAGGCCCAGAGAGAAGCGAGTGAGGGGGGACTTGCCTTCATCGCGTAGTAGAGCGTTTCGGCCAGGTAGGCGGGGATGCTTCGGATGCACTTCACTAGGAGAGCAAGAACATCAGGTCAGAGGCTAATCTGGTACGAAAGGGACCAAGTGGCCCTGGCTGGTTTGGCTCAGTGGGTAGAGCGTCGGCCTGCGGACTGAAGGGTCCCGGGTTCGATTCCCAGTGTGGGGCGTGCGGGAGGCAGCCGATCAATGATGCTCTCTCATCATTGATGTTTCTACCCCTCTCTCCCTCTCCCTTTCTCTCTGAAATCAATAAAAATGTATTTATTTTTTTAAAAGGGACTAATTAGAAGTCCCAGGCCGCCTCGTGCCCATGGCTATTTATTCCCGAGGACAGAGAGCGACCCCCTGGGAGCTGAGCTGCAAGTATTTCCCCAGACGGGGACTCCCTCAGGCCCTGCTTCCCCAGCAGGGGGGCACAGCGCCAGGGGGTGGGTCTGAGGCCACTGTTCCCAGCACCCTCCCTTCTGGCAGTTTCAGTAGCGTCGGTTGTTATGGCACAACCTTCATCAGCCCCGAGAAAGTCTACAAACATCCTGGAGGTCTCCTTCCAGTCTATGCAAGCCAGTAACACGGATTTCTCTTCTCCCTGGTCTTCGCAAACCTGGGACTGTCCCTCGCCATGGTAACCGAGGTGTTCAATCTGCACCCTGCACACCTGGGTGCCCGAGGGCAGGGCCCGATTCTGGAGGAACCAGGTAAACAGGTGGCAGAAGAGGGCACCTCCCCTGGACGGGCACCTGCCCCTCCACCTCCTGGGGCGGCCGCTCGGCCCCCAGGCTGCTGAGCTGCAGAACGCTTAGATGAAAATCCCTCACGATACAAAAATCACCCTCCACGGGGGGGGTAAACTTTTCCAATGCTTAGAAAAAGCCCAGCCACGAGCAACTAAACACGTCACAATGCTCACGTGCAGCGGACGCGCCGCTCGAACCCACGGGATTTGGGAAGCATGAGATACTGCAAGGAACTGCACCCACTCGGTTCCCCCCTTTTTCCAGATTATCCTGAATGTGCAGCTAAACGCAATTCCCAGTCGTTCATCTGAAAACGACCACGGTCACAGCTCCCGGTTCATCTAAGACACTTTTCCTACATCGGGCGCTGCGTCTCAGCCGCCGCGGAGCTGGGGGGACGGTGCTGGGAGAACATGGCGTCCCGCAGGCATCAGCCGTAACGCGGAGCAGCCTCCAGATGGTGCCCACTCTCCGGGGTGATCGGGGAACAGTAGGGCTTTTAGTGCCGCTTCAAAATGGTTTTTAGACAATTCCCTTTATGATCCCACCGGAGCTAACGAGATCATCAAGTATTTCCAACATCAGGGCGGGCATCCCATTGGAAACGTAGGCGTTTGCATCCTACAAGCTCTTCTTTTCCTAAGAAATCGGTGTTGAGGTTCAGACACAGCCTGAGCGGAATGAGCTCCGGGAGCTCTCGATACCACGCGTGTCACGTACGCCGGACAGTTACCTACCGACAGCCAGGAGCAGCTGCTCCAAGTTGCCGGAAGTCTCCCGGTCAATGGTCTCCTCGATCTGGAACCCCGATATGGTCATGTACTTGTCAAACACTGGAGAAGAGAAAGATGAGCTCAACACCCGGGGCTCCCTCTCCACAGAGAAGGCCCTTCTCTCACCGGGCACTGCCCTTCCGGACGCAAAGCCCCCTCTCCTTCCTGACGGAGCCCGATGGTGTCCGAGCCTCGGAGTGCCCCAAACACCTGCTGCCAACTGTCTTGTTCCCTGATCCCCCGGGCCCTGAGCTATGGGACCGACGGGGAAATCCGGAAGATTCGGAGACGCCTTCCTTTCCTTATAAAAGTCACGGAAGCCCATTTACATCTTAAATTTCTTCTCGCTATGAAAACGGTCGCTACGTTTGGGGCTACAGCAGCCATCCTGTGACATGAGGACGGAGCGCGAGGGAGCAAGCCAAGCGCTGAGGACAGTGGAGCAGAGAACAGAGGCCACGGCGGCACGGTTTCCCGTCACCGGCCCCTGCACTCATTCCCGCCTGGCACCGTGGGTAACGAGGACTATCCAATCGAATAAACTGTGGACAACTTATTAAAACCCGGAGAAGCAACCGAGCGCCGACCCATCCAGAGAAGAAGGGTGGTGACCACTGTCCGGAGGGAATGCCTGCAGGGCCCACAGCTCAGGGGTCAGTGACAGCGCGACAACCCAGAGCCTGCCTCTCCCTCGTGGAGCGAGAGGTGGACAAGGAGCTCTCGCTTTTAAAAAGCTACAACAGCCGCGAAGGGAATGACGCCAGTCCTCGGGGTCCCCAAGAAGCAGTCAGACTCGGACCCGCCCGCAGGTGCGCTCGCCGGCAGCCGAGGGCCGCCCTGCACCGCGTCTCCCGCACTCACCCCTCCGCAGGTGGGACACGCTCCGCGTCCCGAAGATGGTGATGAACTTCTCCTCGTCGGTGCCCCACTTCAGCTCTCCCGCCTGGAACAGCGTCTGCGAAGAGTTCCGCCCGGTCAGTCCCCGCTCCTGCCTCTCGCCGGCATCACACCTGGTTCCGCTCCCCGAACCGGAACCCGCCCGGTGCATCGTCGGACGCTTTCCCACCCTCACGTTTCCTATCCTGACCTCCGACCTGAGTCTGGGGCTACTTGGGGCCCCGAGGATGAACTGCCATGGAAGACGGATGGGTCAGAGCCAAACGCAGCCGTGGCCCCAGGTGAGTGTCCCCAGTGTGGCCGCGACCGGTCTTTCCGGGGGCCCCGGGGGGTGGGCCGAGTTCCGAGCGGCCACTCATAGGCTGGGGAGGGAGTGGCCTGACCAGGGGCTGCGTCCTCTGCCTTTTCTGTTTTCCTGCTCTGGGTTCACCTGGTAGAAAGTAGCTTCCTGTTTTCTTTTCACACCTGACCGTGAGCCAGAGCGAGCCACAGAACATCCTCGCGTGGCTCGAGATGGCCAGGAACGGTTCAGCAGGCCCTCATGTGACTGGGCAGCTCAGCTCCACATGTGCCTTTTCACAGGGAAGGAATGTGCGCCCTTTAGTGTCCATGTAACTATGGGAAGCACGAAAGCATATGGACATCAGCACTCCACCGGAGGCCCCTCACTGAGATGTGGACAGTTTACTGGAACCCAGAGGCGCAATCCTCACAATGTCTGTGCTACCCTTTCAGTTACGCCCTTCACGGCCAGCACACCCAGGACGCCAAGAGGGAGGCAAGTGGCTGAGGCTGCGGCTGGGAGCCGCCCCGTCCCCCCAGTGGCAAAGCAAACGGGGCCAGGCGGCGGTCACGGCATGTGGGCACGTGGACACGTGGGTACGTGGGTCCATGGGCATTTGGGCATTTCAGCCACTGTGTTCAAGAATAGATACTGCAGTTCATTCCCAGAACACGAGACAACGAGTTCCATCTTTACACTCAATTCTGAAATGATTTTAACGATAAAAATAAAGAGCATCGATCCTGGTCCTGTGAGCATGTGCTTTAACATGGGGAAGGCCCGGCCGGCGTGGCTCAGTGGTCGAGCGCCGACCTATGAACCAGGAAGTCACCGTTCGATCCCCAGTGTGGGGCTGGCAGGAGGGAGCTGATCAATGATTCTCTCTCATCATTGGTGTTTCTCTCTCTCTCTCTCTCTCTCTCTCTCTCTCTCTCTTGCTCTTGCTCTCGCTCTCCTTTCCTCTCTGAAATCAATAAAAATATATTTTTTTAAAAAACAACAACGGGAAAGACTGCGGGCAGTCAGCCTGAGCTCCAGCTTCGAACCCGTGTTCAGACCCCTTGACACAGCCTTCACATCTCCTTACAGAAACAAAACGTGTTCGCTGAAGTGCTGTAAACACAGGAAAACCTAAACGAAACGAAATGACCACAATACCACGTCGTAAAGCCCCCTGCTGCGTTTTCCGCAGGAGACACGCGTACACTCTCACGGGCGGGGCCTGCACCCTGTGCTGGCGGGAGGCCCTGCTTTCTCACCACCCGCTGCACCTCGAGCGGTGACGCCTGCAGCGGGAATCACGGTGAAACGGCCGTTTTAACCGCACGCTCCTGGGTTCGTGGAAGAACTGTGTCTGGGATCGGCATCTGCTCTACAGCTACTCGCAGGAAATCCCGCACCAAGATGAGGGCGCCTCACGGACAGCAGACGCTGAGCAGCCTCGCCTCCTCCTGCTCTGATGGGCGGCCCACCCCCAGGCTGCCGCATCCACACGCATCCACATGTGGCTGTCGGTGAGACCCCTCCTGCCTCCCTCCCCCTGCACCCGCCTCCTCCCCCTGCACCCACCTCCCTCCCCCTGCACCTGCCTCCTCCCCCTGTATCTGCAAGGCTTTACATTCCGCCCAAGCACAGCTGGGTAACCCTGGTTCAGTGCCAAGCACAGAGGCTTCAGAGTCAGAAAGGCCTTGGCCCTGGTCCCTGTCTGTGGGTCTTAGACCAGGTCCCTGGCGGTCTTCTGGAGCCTCTGTGTCCCCAAGCGGAGAGGACTGTCTCCAAAGGCTCGCATGGGAAGCCACAGCTGCCGGCCACCCCCCGCACGGTTCAGTTGAACCCGACGCCCCTGCTTTC